TGGAGCACACCCACTGTGAATAATATTTTCTGCAACTTTTATTATTCTGCAGAATGAATTGGTGGAGAATGTGAGAAAAATAAAACTGGACATATAAAGCTTATGTCCTGGATCCACCTATCTGTAATTGGAATAAATACTTGGGTGATTCAATTCTACTTAATTGAAACTTAAACTGATCGTGAGAGTGACAATTTATCAATCTTTAACATTTCTAAATAGGCATGATCTGCATCTGAGTTTTCACATTAATTTGTAGCTTTGAAAAAGTGGGAACATTTTAACTTTTGTTATGTTCTCATGCAATGACTGAATCTCGACATGGATTTTTACCTGCAGTACAGTATCTGATGGACTGCCACCTTCCTTTTAGCTGTAATTATCAATCTCATGGTGCATTGACAGCATTTGGGGCATAGCTCAGGGATAGGGAGAGAGTTATGTTTCTTTCATGGAGTAGAAGCAAAACAGATTTGGCAAGCTCTGCAAAGTTATGGGGTTGACAGTATTACCACAAGTAATTTCTGCATGAAAGAGTCTCTCAGCACTTGGCTTTTTCTGTTCGTGTTTTGCACACACCTGCACAAGCTAATCCCATGAACATACGAGTGAAGAGACAGAGAAAATCTTGGGGAGTTTTATATGTAAGATGTGTGGAAGATATTTGCCTCTCTCTTGAGAGAGGAGGCTTTGCCAAGGTGGGGTTGTGAGCAGTACTGCTAGCAGCAACCATTAGAAAAGGTTAGGAGAGGGCATTTCTAAAGCTGAAGGAGATGGAAAAATCTTACCAAGGAGCAAGGTGGTTCAGTGACAGGAATACGTCTGTGACAGCCACACTGGGCTTGTCCAACACAGAGGTGTCCCAGGACCTCTGTAACCTGGGCCTCTGGAAAAAAGCAGTATACAAGTGAAGGCTTAAACTGCCATCAGTAATGGGAATGACAGAGACATTGGCTGGATGAGATGCCCCTGTGTGACACAGCTTTAGGTAAGTAGGTGTCTTAAACTGACTGACTGTCTGACTGGGTGGTTTAAACCCAGTCAGGCAACTCGTTCACTCACTCCCCCCCCCCCTCTTCTTTCCCTCCCCCTACTCCTGGAGGGACGGAGAGGAGAATCGAAATGAATGCAACTCCCACGGGTTGAGATAAGAACAGTTCAGTAACTAAGGTATAACACAAATCACTACTGCTACCACCAATAATAACAATGATAAAGGAAATAACAAGGGAAGAGAATACAACACCTCAGCACCAGCCGACTGATAACTCACCCCCCCCCAGCCCGACCAAGCACCGACCCATACCTCCTCCAACCCTGTAGTCTCAGCCCTTCCAGCTCACTCCCAGTTACATCCTGGGCATGACGTGCTGTGGTATGGAATACCTCTTTGGTCAGTTTGGGTCAGGTGTCCTGTCTCTGCTTCCTCCCAGCCTCCCATGAGGCTCACAAAGTCCTTGGCCAAACCAAAACATCATTGTTATCAGCTCTGTTCCCAGGCCGAAAGTCAAAACACTGCACTGCACCAGCTACCAAGAAGGAGAAAAATGACTGCTACTGCTGAACCCAGGACAGTAGGCATTCCCCTTGTGCTGTGTGCATGGTCATTCTTCTCTAGGAAGAGTCATTTCGACTCAGTGAGCTGTGGGTGCCTTGCTCCATCTCAGTGCACCCTTCTCCCCCCTACCACAGGCACTGCTGCTCATCCAAGGCATGGCACCTGGGGAACAGCAAGAGCTATGAGGGCTTGAGCTGAACAGCACAAGTCACGGAATGTGTGACAATGAAAAATCAACAGAAGAAGACTGAGCCTTTGGAAGCAATTAAACCACTTAAAAGCTGCGTGAGACTATCTCAGGAGTGGAGGGGGGAGAAATAAAGCCCTCATCAGCAGAGAGTGGTTTGCGAGGCTCATTTGCATGGTGCTGCTCCACTGACACATTGGAGATCTTAACTTCATTTAAGATCAACTTTCCAGTGCTTCTTAACGTTCCTAATCCTGCTGAATAGTCAGGCCCTGAATCAGCCATGTCCCGAAGGGAGCTGTCAAGCAATATGTGCCCACTTAATTGATTAATACCTGTTCCTAGGGTTTTTGATGGCAACTGATGGATCTAGTAGTTGTCTTCCCCCTACAAGATAGATCAATTGACAAGAAAACTGTTTAATGACAAAGCTTCTAAGTGCTTGTCTAAGTTCTCTCTGCATTTTAATAGTGTAGGCAAGTTGTTCAATCAAGCATGGCACTTAGAACTGCAGTGTCTAGTAGAAATCTATTAGCCTTGCTGAAGAAAATGCTTCAGGTCATGTCATGGACAGAATATCCAGAGACACATTTAATGTGACAGGCTTTAGTGTCCAGTATCTATATGTATGTAGATGAGTTTTGGCTGGAAGCAAACTTGCAGATACTGTAAAATGCCAGCTGAGCTCACAAGCATGTAGCCATATGTATTGTTTTAACCTCCAAGGGTGCTGCTGGGATTCAAGAAGTGTGAAGGTGCAGGTGGGCAGTCAGTGCCTTGTAGTAGCCCTGATTTGTCCTTCCCCCAGTTTTTGGCTCCAGGCTCTCATCGTTGTTTCACATCTACATGAGCGTTTCTCTGGTCATAGTTCTTTTAGGCAGTGCTTTCTCACAAGGTTTCTGTGTTTCCCCTTCCTTTACTAACTGGCAGCACAGTAGATTGCACTTTTGCTGAATAGACGAATTTATTTATAAATTTTTGCTCTTACACATTTATGAATTTGGCAAGGAGGAGATATTACATTAGTCTGGAAAGTTTTCAGCCATGGTCTGCTAAATTAATAATCCCATTCATAATAAAATTTGACTGATTTTATACTTTTCATACCCTGTGGGAGTGTACCAAACTTTCCAACAGTCAAAGAGCTCTGTTTGGCTGAGACTGAGTAGTACTTCGGCTCAAGAAAAGCCCATCTGACTCCTGAGAGAGGAGGTGTCAGAACCCTGTGTATTAGGTTTGCACGGCAAGGATTTGATAGTGGGGAGGGGACTACAGGGATGGCTCATGTGAGAAGCTTCCAGAAGCTTCCCCTTGTGTCTGATGGAGCCAATCCCAGCTGGCTCCAAGATGGACCCACCACTGGCCAAGACTGAGCCCGTCAGTCACAGCGGTAGCACCGCTGGGGTAATGTATTTAAGAAGGGAAATGAGGGAAATTACTGTGCAGGAACATCAAGAGTGAGAATATTTAAGAGCAACAGCCCTGCAGACACCAATGTCAGTGCAGAAGGAGGTCAGGAGGTGCTCCAGGTGCCAGAGAAGAGATTTCCCTGCAGACCATGGTGAGGCAGTCTGTGCCCCTGCAGCACATGGGGGACCACAGTGGGGCAGATCTCCACCTGCAGCCCATGGAAGAGACCCACGCTGGAGCAGTTCATGAAGAACTGCAGCCTGCAGGAAGGACTCACGTTGGAGCAGTTCATGGAGGACTGTCTCACATGGAAGGGACCCACGCTGAAGCAGGGGTAGAGCATGATGAATCCTACCCCTGAGGATGAAGGACCAGCAGAGACAACGTGTGATGAGCTGATCACAACCCCTATTCCCCATCCCCCTGCACCAGGGTGAACCAACCACAGCCAATCTACTTTTTAGCTGTTTAGAAACAGAGTGAGAATGTAAGGTACTGTTTTAGCTGCATTAGATCCTGCTTCTCTCATTGACGTGATGTTCTCATTTCAAAACTGAACTTTTCAAGCCAAGAAGGCTGCCACCCTCACAGGGTCAGGACAGTGGGAGAACCCAGTCTCTTGTACCCTAAGTTATGTGTCTAAGTGTTGTGCTGATTGCACCAAGTTATGAGTTCACTATCAGCAGAATTGCACTGCAGTACCCTGCCCTTGTTTTAGAGAAGTGGGGGAGTAAATGTAACCCAGGAGCAAAATTACACTGTGGCCATGGGATTTTCACTGCTTCTCCTTTTGTATAAAGCAGACCATGCTTCTTAGTGTTCCATATTTATGGGTAGTCTGAACTAAAGACCCCAAAATACAGCCCGTTCCAAAAAGAAAGCACAATCTATAGCACTGCTCTGAAACATGACACTCTCTTGCCTTTATCCATCTTTCCTTCTCTTTCCTCTCTGGCACTGGGGTTTGCTAATAGAAGCTGTCTTGCCTTTTAAGCATTGACATGAAGTTTCTTTGCCTGAAAGATGGGGTAAGTCTCATTGGCACGTGATACTGCACTCCTCATGCCTATCTAATTAAAAATGACCATCATTTCCCTGCAAGTTTATCTGACCAAGCAAACCAAATAGTCCCTTTCACAATCCCTTAGCAATGTTACTGCTATGATAGAGGACAATAACGGGTCCAGAAAAGGCTGCTCTGTCACCACTGATGGGAGGGTCATGCTCCAGCTGAGCCTGCTGCTATGCTTCAGCCACCATCAAGATTAGAAGTACTGCGGGCATCACTTAATCAGCCTTCTTACACCCAAGTCTTGTCAACCACAGGTTCCACACAGTGTATCAGCTGTCTCAGTTTTCACTCTGCTATACAACAAAAAAGCTAAGGCTGCCAAAAAATCACCAGACAACTTCCCATTTTTGCACATGTAGCTAACACCTGCAGCTACATTCCCTTCAAGGCATGAAAATCCATCTGAAAATTAATGTTGGTTTTGGGAAGGCTTTAGGAAAAAAAAATACAAAGCTAATTAGTTTGCTATTTTTGAGGTGTAAGAGGGTGAAATAGTAAACACACTGAGTAAACCACTTCCCTAGCATTGACCATGTGGTTTGCTCATCCTTCATTGGAGGGGAAAGGAGAAAGGCAATGGTTTGAACACAAGTAAGAATACGTCTCCCAGCTGTGTGCAGGCAGGTGTGCTCCTCATCCACCTGCATTTGAGAATATGCAAAGCAAGCACACTCATCCACACCTGTTTGTGTAGACGCATCCTGACTTTTGAAGCTTGAAATCTGGTATCAAAATAACCCTGTCTGTGTGGCGCAGGTGTTCGTGAGGTTGCATCCATCATGTCTGTAAAAGAGTGATTCTGAAAGCTCTGCAGCACGCAGCAGCCCCGTAGAACAGGCTGCCGAGTAATGGCTGCTTGGTTGACTCTGAACACATACAGAAACTGTGTGTGTGTGGCTCACTGGTCTCATTTCTCATCCTACAGCTGTGATCTAGCCAGTCAACTTCTTACTTCTCAGGGTAAGTCAAAGTGATAGCAATGCTGACAGTAATGCATTAGGTAACCACCGTCTACTGGGGCTCCCTGTGAATCTCTGAAGTGTGAGATTTCGTTAGAACCACTGTTTGTGTGCATAGCTCCGGATGCTCAGCCAGTGCACTGAAGGGGTGCAAACAACCTTGTTCAATGCATGGTCTGTTCCCTTCCTCCTCTTGTTGACTGTTGCTTTGTAGAAGGACTTCTTTTGATGGCTTGAGGTCCCAGTGATTTCAGGTTTCTATCAAGAGTGCTGTGGATAAAGTAGGATCCAAAAGTGGGATCCAAGTCATTGTGTTTATTAAACCAAGAAGTCTGCATAGTGAAACATTTACACTACAACAAGACAAAGGAACATCTACACTCCTAACAAATTACATTCTTCTTGCAGGCTGAGTTTGTTCAACCATAGTGTCCCAAATATTTTATTGGCAATACTGAATGCTTTCCCCATGAGGTACCTTTTCCATCCATAAGGACTTATGTAGGCTGACCTTCTTGATTAGCTGAAAGAGAATGAAATCCTGAAGTCGTTGAAATCCAAAAGCACTGTGGTGTCTTTCCCCATCCTCATTTCCACTGGTTTTCAATTTTGGATCAATTGGTGTCCTTGCTTTGACATCCTTTACTATCTTTATTGCAAAAAGCAATAACAAACAGTTACACAGTACTCTTAAGAGAGGTTTGCTAATCTGGCGTTCAGCTAAAAACTCCTTTTCCTCAACGTGATTCCAGGTTCTTAATTCATGTAAATGTATTTTTTTCTGTTCTTGTATATTATCTAGTCCTATTCAGAATGCCTTTCCTTATGCTCCCCAACTTGGGAACACTTTGCTTTTCTAATTGAGATGATCCTCCACATCCCTTAGCATTTAGAACAGATGAGTAACATGAATAGTTAGGCTTCCTCTGCAGTCACTTGCAGGTTGCCAAAACATTTGATGCCTTTAATTATCCCCAAAGTGAATGTTGCAACATGACCATACCACCTGCATGGCTTGGGATCCAGAGCTGTGTTGGCTGCCTGTTATGGTACTTGCAAGGCTTTGCTCCTCAGCAGCATCTATTATACATGCATACATATGCATTCCTGCGAGACAGGGATTGCTTTATCCAATGCATGCTGTGCTATGCTGGAGCTCTCCGGGCTACAAGCTGCTATGTCTCAGTGGTGGAACGCAGCTTTGATCCTGGAATCACTGTAATTATGTCACCCTATTGCTCCCTCCAAACTGCTTAGCTAAGCCAAGAAGCCATCTGCAAGGTGGGATGGGTGACATCTTGCTCCCGTATCGCTGCTATGCATCAGGTGGTAGTGCAGGCTTGCACCCAGCCAGCCCTATACCTGTCATGCCTCACTCAGCTGGCCCAGTTTCAGGTTCCCCAGCTGCATCTGCTGCACCTCCTTCATTTGCACTGCAACACGGGCAGCACTTGGCTTGTCAGCCACAGCTGGATACCTTCCCTCTGGCTGCTCATCTGTGCCAGAGCTGAGGCTCTCAAGGCAGAGCGGGACCACAGGTTGAGCTGGGAGTATTTCTCCTATGCTGAACAGTGCATTTCCCCCACCACCCCACGTTCCAGCTGCTTTTCCAGGCCACCTATCCCAGGGATGGGCCTTCAGATTGGATTTTGGAAATCATGAAGGTTGCAAAAGGCGTGAATATCCATGGTGGGAACTTGCGTGCTATATAAGTGGACACTGCGCAGTTCCTACTCATATCTGCAATGATAATAATTGTTTACTAGCTCAGGCAGAGAAACTGAGCCAAGTAAATTGTCACTGTCTCATTCCTGCTTTGGAAAGCTCACTGTGAGGATTATCGTCAGGACAGGCCTGAGAATAAACCTGTCGAACACAGGCAAACTACATGAGGGTGAGCCAGATAAAGAGGAGATTGCTTGGCTTCAAAATCCGAGAACAGGAAACTATAGAAAGAATTTGAGAAACTGCAGATATTCAGTTGGAGATGTTTTCTGCCTTAAAAAGAGAGGAAGAGAAAAAGAGAGAAGATGCACAGAGTGGGAAAGATTGCCTTGTGGTTGAGGGTCTCGGGAGCTCTGGCCTAATTTCCCATCTCTGCTCAGGCTTCTTGTATAACCTTGGCCAAAGTCACTTCATCTCTCTGTGCCACCACTCCTCCATTACTATGTGGATTCCCCTTCTCTAGCACTATCCCCTCTCCCTTGTTCTCTCTCCTCTGCCTACCCTACCTGCCAAGACTCTAAACTGTGAGGTACAGACCGCCTCCAATTTCTGATTTCTTTCTGTTTGGATTTGATTGCCTCTGATTTGATTTGTTTCTGTTTGTACTGTATCCAGAAACCTCAAGCAGAGCTTATGGGTAATACCATAGCACAAACAAAATACACAACCGAGTTTTTGAAAGCTCTCTTGTTAAAAAAATCCCAACGACAATCAATTCTGAAATGTTTTTCTTCTGATGAGCCAGTAGTAAATTTTAAGGAAGATTGGGTTTTCTGTAACAGTGTAATGGGTTTGCTGTAATGCCAACACTAACTGGCAGGCTCCTATGGTGTTACTATGTGGATTTTTACATAATGATTTTAAAGTTGTAAGCTCTGTCTGCTGCATTTAAATATTTGAACAAAATCCTGTGCTCAGGGACTGTAAATTTGATTTTGGTAGTAGTCAGCAGAGCCTTCCGCAGGTGAAATTCTGATGTAAGCAATAGTCATAGGATCATAGAATGGTTTGGGTTGGAAAGGACCTTACGATCATCTAGTTCCAGCCCCCCTACCATGCTTTGACATGTGGCTGTTATCTCCATGAACTGGGTGCCAATTACCTCACTGGTGGTACCCTTTGTCCTGGTAAGATGCAGATTTCCATTAAGTCAGAGCGTATCAGTCAGAAGATTCATACACTGTTTGCATTAGTGGTGTAATTCTGGATAGCAGGCATTTGCCTTAGGGATGAATAAAGGTTAATTCAGAACGTAACGTGCATTGGTGAACAACAAAGACAAAAATTAGGAAAGCTTACCCTCTTCATTTTCATCTGGAGTGTTTGTTTGCCGTTATCAACAGGCTCACTAGCAATAAAACTTGATGGTGTTTCATTAGGGAAAGAAAAGATGTAAATCAGAGTGTATGGGTACATATGGTTGTCATTGACATTTTATACGTGTTTGTCTGACATATCAGCAATATTTTCCAGGCAGTAGCAGCTTTATCTAAGGTGAATTTTATAATCATCTTTGCAACTCAGCAGAGCTGTCACGTTTCCCAGAGATGTATGAAGGGCACACTGTAGCCTGTACCACCCAACCAGACCCCTCTGGTGCCCGTGGTACCTCTTGGCTTCCCCAAGGTACCAGGACCTCTCTCTGCACCCATTGTCACTCTCCCACTGCTCAGCGATATGATCCCACTGGATGTATGGGGCAGATCTGGGCCCTCAACCTCACACCTCAAGCTGTTTCCTATCAGAGAGGCAGAAGGTACTTTCAGTTTTACATCAGCCAGGATTAGAAACTGTCTTAAGATTTTGATTTCCAAAGGATTTACCCAGAGTCTTACTTATCTTATTCTTTATTTAACCCTGTTTGGTCTCTTCTGACTTTTCTTGGGTCCACAGGCACATGAAGAATTCAGTATAAAGCCTTGCATTTACATTCACTCTTCATTTTCAGCTAGGAAACAGTTCCTCTGTGGTAGAATAACCAGACTCTCAGTGCATTCAGAGAAGGTGGGCTTGAAATGCCAAGCAGAAATCCCAGGAGAGCGACCCAAGGGGAACTCCAAGGACTCTTCTATTCAGCTTTTCTCCAACTGATGAGGGGCCAGGCTCTATAGTTCAGAGTGTTTTATTACTTCTGTCAGGTGGGAAAGGGATCTAGGGGCTGCCGTGGCTTTCCAGTTTTGGAGAGATAATGATATTATTCACAGGATTCCTGAGCCAACAGCAAGGGCATCTTTGCTGAAGCCACTTTACCGTACTTGTTAGAACACAAGCCTTGCATGAACAACTTAAAATGAAATGAGATAAAGTAGTCCCTTTAATGTGTTTTATTTATTTATCTACAGATCCAAGATAAGCACTTGGCCAAAACAAGATCTCACATGGCCCAAATTCAGCATCTGAAAACAGGAGAATCTGCCAATCACCAGTGCTGGAGTCTCCTTGCCAGGTTCATAATTAGATAAAGGTACACGGTAGATGAAAGCATGCTACAGTGCTGAGGCAGTTTGCTACCTCGGCGCTGAGACATGAGAAGCAGCTAGTGCAAAGCCAACTGTAGGGAGTCAGTGAAGCTCATTTGCAAGGGAAATGCAAATACAGACCTGATTGCATTCCCTTAAATGGAAAAGTGTGTTAAATCTGATAAGCATGCTCTGAGTGTCTCCTAAGCGTGGGCTTGTCTCAGCGCTTAGTTTCTGTTCTTCAGCAGAGGGAGGGAATGAACGCTGTTCTGAAACCCTGCACAGGTGAGAGACAGCAATTATTTCCCTCTGCTTCTTCCACTATCTGCATAAATTAACATCTAGATAGCCTTTATATCTCCAAAGCACTCCACATATATTAACTAATTAATGCTCACTGTATCCCTCTATATTATAGAAAGAATTATCCTCATTTTGCTAATGTTGAAATCAAGTAGGAAGATTAAGTACCTAGGGGTGAATCTAGCTAAGCAGTTTAGTCGCTGAAGTCAAAGGGACTAAAAATTAATCATATGTTTAAGAGCTTCGGTGGACTGGGAGCTGGGTCTTGCACAATGCTGAGCACCTTGTAAGATCAGTTGCACCTAAAGCCACAGAGGCATCAAGGATGAGAGCCTGACATGAAATTGTTCTCCAGGAGCTCAGATCTCAGTCCAGTGCATGAAGCCATTTTATGCTTTCTAAAAGAAACTAAATATAAACTGCTTCAAAAATGCATGGTCATATAAGGCAGGTATCAGAAAACACACTTGGAACAGAAGATGGTGCACACATGTAAACAGTGCCTGGTTTCTTCACCACTATATTTGCAATAGTGTAATACACTGGTGCTTTGCAAAACCACGTTTCTCTCCATCATTACCTGCAGTGCCAGCGGCAGAAAACATGCCTGCTACAAACAGCTTTTGACAAAAGTCACTGCCTCTCCCCGCACTTATGAAAACACAGAGTTTGTTCTCTCAGAATTTTGAAATCAGTTTATTTTCTTCACAGCTGCAGCATTGCCAACCAGCGAATCTGACAGTCCTCTTGGGGAGAAATTCATTGTAAAAAGGATTTAGAAGAGCCACGCAGAGAGTAGGGTTTGATTACCTTCATTTACATAGATGGAGAGAAACTTTTTAAGAGGCAAAAAGGGGAGAGCCCTGTGTGAACCTTTAGCCAGTTTTATCAAGTTCAAGTTCAGGACATAGCCCATATCAGATCCCCCCAAAAATTTACATACAGTGTTCACAGGGCTGCTTGAATAAGTCTTTTCCTTAAAGATTAGCTGCACTTTATTGATACTGCGCAATATTGCAAGATACTCTTGTGAGCAGCCCTCAGATGGTCATATTAAACATTATTTTGATAAGGAGAGGCCTTGTTTGGGGATAATTATTCATCAGCACCTGGATATGTAGAGTCGGGAGAACACTGGGGCATTTTCCCTTTCTAAAGAAACAGCTCTTTTGTTGACATGGAAAATAAACGGTGAGCTCCAGAAGAGGCTGGTCTATTGTAGAGTTCCCCAAATTAGGCTGAACAGCTGGTGACTCATTGTTGGGATATTAATCAGAGCAAGATAAATGTGTGTGTAGAACAAGGAACATGGCTTATTTCATTGGGTTATTGATTGATTTTGGATTAATTAATGAAAGAGACAGGTGTTGATGGGGGTGAGACCGCAGCCACAAGAAGGAGGGCTTAGCTCAGCTGGCCCCTCCTGGTGTTGATAAGCTACAAGGAAAGAAACGCCTGCAAAGGCAAGGGAGGGATAAAAGAGAGCAGCAGGGTAGGGCAGCTTGTGCAAGCCTGGTGCTCAGAAGAGGCAGCCTTTGTAGGAGCAGACAATAAAACAGCATGTGTGTGAGGGGTGCAAAGGTCAGAGATAGGGAAACCTGGGGATGGGCAAGACTTGTGCGAGAAGACTTTTTCTCCCTATGCCTGCTCTGTGCCGGCTGTGCTGCCTTGACTGAAGGCAAAAGAAGCAGGTGTTAAACAACCAAATCCCAGAGAATCTGATGCAGTGGACCAGACTTCATCTGCCTCTCCTTTTCATGGCAGCAGAACCCTGACGATCAACAGTTACCAGTCAAATGGAGCAAAGGCAGGGCAAGCAGTGAAGTGTGGAAAAGAGGAAGCCATGGCTGGGCACAGGGGAGGGAAGGAAGCAACGGAGGGAAGGGCTGGTCCCTGTGGTGACCCATCAGCACTGCTCTCCCCTGGCTTAGTGAGGCCACCCACTACTGTGATGACTGCTGTAGAAAACACCAGGGTGGAGAGAGAGCACTGAGAGAGTAACTTCGAGCAGCTCCTGATGAAGTTTGGAAGAAAATTAACAGCATAAATATCCTTCTTTCAAAAGACAGCTGAGCTTGAGTGTTTGGGAGACTGTAGAATTTCTCTGCGTGACACAGATGCACTAGATAGGCACGGCGTGAAGGTGGTCTTTGTTATTTAGCACACGTCGCCACAGTACATGTGCTAAATTGATGTGTTCTCCCCCTCCAAACTATGTAGCACTTATTTTTCACATGAGCAAACTAGCTTTAATATTGGTTTAGAATGTAGATAAGTACACTGAGCGTATAGATTTCTCTCCGCCCCTGTAATACTGTGTGCATCTCTGGCCTGGATCTCTGGCTTTTCATGCTGGTAACCCATCTCTAATATTGATTTGGGGCACAGATAGATAGAACACACATTATGGATTTATGTCAGTCTTTGTTGAATCTCTGTTGGTTTGGAAAGTAGATAATCTGCAAGAATGAATTTTTCCCATAACATTGCTTTCTGTGCCTACAGAGTGAGAAAATAATATAACTTGTATCTTCTAGCGAGCTAAGTAACTTCCCTTTCACTGACTGTAACTCCTCCCCCTCAGCATCTGATGGCTGTGGCTGTCTCAGTGAAATAGCTGTGCACTGTTATAGCAGAGCACTTCCACAGTGAGACATCCCATCTGTCTTCCTTTCCCACAGCATTGCAAGCGTCCATTTGCTTTAATACCAGTTGCTGAGCCTGCCTTTCATCTACTGCTGCAGAGTCTTAAGTGGGGATGTTGTAAAAATGTCAGGGGTTTGGGTCTGGTTTTCTTTTGTGATGGCTTGGAGGTGGCATTTGGGTTTTAATCAGTACTGGGGCATAGTTTGTGACAGATTGTGTCTGCAAAGCTTGGTACCACCAAGCAAACCAGCGTGTCCATGTTGCACCACGTACCTCTGGGTGGTTGCACAAGCTCAGGTCCTCAGCACAGGACAGTTGGCACTTCATGGCATTCGAACTCGGTAAGGATGCTCACCCAGCAACGTGGAACATGATGGTCATGGTACCACAGCAAACCACAGCTGTGTGCTCATGGCCTGGATCAATGAACACTGAACACTTTGGCAGATCTGCTTACATAGCAAAGGTGGCTCTTGAGAGCCAGGAGCCCGAAATACACAACCAATAACCTCAATGTTTTGTGAGAGCCCCCTTTTTAGCATACAGATTGAATCCTCCAGCTGCATTTTTACTAACCTTTTGGATACGGTGTTTGTAAGGGGCAGCAAGTTGTGTATCACACAGTTTGGGTGGGACACCTCTGCCCATCTCAGCAGGGAACCCAGTAGGGCTTCTGGAGGGGGACAGGCACTTGTACGGACTCTTTCTTCCCACCCTGAGGGGAATATCTAAAACCAGTGAGGGGACTTGTGTCCTGGACATGCCAGTTTGTAACATAGGGTGACCAGATCACATGCAGACATCTGCAGTATATAGGTTTGATGAATCCCTCATTTAATGACTAATGGTCAGGCTCCTGCCATTGCAAAGCAAATAAGGCATACACTAGTACTAGCTGCTTTGTCTGCTGTGTTATTATGAATATGTGTAGCACCAGCCACCACAGTGAGTGAACTGAACTATTTATAAGCCTCAACATTCACCCTGTGTTAATATTTGTTCTGCGTTTGCTTTGTTTTGACCTACAGAACATTTGCTACATGCCCATTTCATGATCAGCCATGCTGTTTGTAATCCACATATGTTTACTTTAATAGGATTTAGTTGTCAAACGGGATTCCTTTTAACTTCTAATCAGTAATAGATTTTTTTTAGCATTTTTATTATGCTTTTTTGTTAGCTTCATCAAAATTGCTTAAGTGTTGGTGTAGGTTTGGAGTCTTGGTGAGGACCATTACATTTTGGGTTCTCCATGCTTGTGGCAGGCTACGTAGGTAGCACTGCAGCCAGTGGTAGTCTAGGCCTCTCTAGAAGTCTATTACTAAATACAAGTGTCGAATAGTGTTGAAAGCATGTGGATGGATAGAAAATGTGGGGCTGGGAGATATCACACAGGGCTGCTGAAGGGCTGAGCTTTTTTGGAGCAGCAGCTCTAGATGCTTCTCAGATGCCAAGAGACCCTGACAGGATTGTCAGGACATCAATTCCCTAGTAGCTAGTTGGTCATGCCTTGGATGTGGTCTCAGCCACCCGGACAGCAGAAAGTACCACCGTCACCAGTGGCAGGCTTCTAGGCAGAGCCATGTCTTCCTCATCCAGACCGCCGCCTTCTGTTTCTTCTTACTGCATTTAGGAGGTGCTATCCAAAGCTTTACTTGTCAGTGAGATCAAAAGCACAATCATGTCACTTCTTTCTGTTAAAAAAAAATACTTCTGCAAATAGTTGTCAGTGGGGGGTTTTATTGTCTTCATATGTATGCGTGCTTATTTTATGAATCCAGATGAGGCTCACTTTTCAATCCAGGTCAGCACACCTCACAAGGATGGTCATAACTTCAGCCTAATGTCATCAAACCTTCATTTCCTGCCTATAGATGCTCTTATACTGAAGTTTAATAGGGGCTGTTATGAAATTTTTGAGCACAATGGAGATAAAAATAGGCAAAGCACAGGATGTTCATCAGGACTCCTTTGTAGAAGAGTCTGAAGCTGCTGCCTCTCTCTGGATCCCTGTTGTTTCCTAGCTTCACCCCTTCAGGGGGAGATGTATCCTTAGCCAATTGAAGAGAGGGAAAGCATGCTGCTAGAGGAAGTATCTTACTGTGATTTCTCTGCATGAAAAATATGTTTTGTTCACTTGTATCCTTAGCTTTCATGGAGTGGAGTAAGGATAGGATTATAAAATCCACCTGTCTTCAACTCCCTTTTGCTAGAGGGATTATAAGGAGGCAACCTATCTGCTATCTATATAAGAATGCCAAAAATATCTAGGTCATAATAAGCTCCTGATTATATCTCTATCCATTCCTTGAAAATTTATCTTACTTTACCTCACCTCCAAGCTTATCTCTGCAGTAGTTTTTGAAAAATACAAGCAAAATTCCCTTAAATAAAACTGGAGCTGAACTCGTTTTGCTTAATTAGCACTTTTTTTTTTTTAACATTGGGGAATAAGAGCAGAATGCAGATAGACTCCTTTAATAGGTTGAAAATTATGAGCATTTTATACTGTGCAGTAGGACCTCGTGCAACTACAACTAGCAGGCTTAATAGCTCGAATGCTTCTGGCTTTGAACACTGAAAACGCTGTTAAATTATTAAGCTTATTCTCCACTGGCAAGGACATTCAGTGTCTGAAACCTTACCAAACCTCAAGGCAATTGACAGCAGAGAGTATAATGAACAGAACAAAGAGAAATTAGGATTTCTTAAAAAAAAAAAAAAGAAAAAAAGATTCTTCAGTTCATCTCTCAAACTGAAAAATTTAAAAACAGCAGCTATGAAACTTGAGCCAAAATTAAAACTTTTGAAAATTTCTCATGTAGAAGCAAAGGATAGCAATTATCACTTCAGGCTGAAAGAAAACATATCAAATCTATTTCAGGCATTTTAATCCCTCATGAAATGAAGTGCAAAGTACAGACAGCATTCGAAATGCAGGGAAGGAAGTAAAGAATGTAGTGCTTGTTTTATACAAAGGCTCAGTGGTTAAAATATAAATTGAGCCAGAGGCAGACAAGGAGAGAAAGATGGATGGAGCAGAGGTCAGGGCACTCATCTGGGACTTGTAATACCAGGGCAGCAGTTCCTACCCCTATAACCTTCTAGGTATTAAGAGGAGTGGCACTGACAGGAGCATCCTTATATTACATAGCCTGGTGTTAAGGCACTCTGGGTAGGTAAGAAGCATAGGTTCAGATCTAGTCTGGTTATAACAGGAATAAGAATTGGATTTCACATATTGTAAGGATTGTTTTAATCTCTGGACTTTGGGCAAAGCATGGGAGCATGAGCAACAATACTTCTTTTCAGCCATGGATTCATGCATGCAAACCACCCGTTTTTCAGTATAAATTGTTATACTGGTTCAAAAGCCAATATATAAATATTTACTAAAATATTAACTTTATGTATGGACTTTCCAAAATGGA